TTTTGATTTGAGATGCTAGTTGTTGTGCAGGCATTAACTGCAGCCTCCAAAGATATCTAGAACGTTCCACTTATTGGCCACAGGGAAGGAAGGTGAGCAGGGTAAACTACTATCCAACAGTTATTGAACCTCCCTGTTTGGCTAAGTGTATCATGGCTATTGTGCAATGAAGAGAGGAACTGTGATTGAGGAATAATAGAAGTGGTTGAAGACATTTCTGCTAAGTGAACACACGTCCTCCTGGACCAATCCCAGGCCTTAATGTTCTCTCAGGCACTGAAATACCAACATCTCTCCTCGAACAGGGCCCATTCCACCTCCCAGAAGTCTCTGACTTTTTTCAAGGGTGTGGCTTGTCTATCTCACCAAAGAGATGGAGAATTCCAAAGGGTAGGATCCAGGTCTTATATTTCTTAGCTTCTGCCACCCTAGTCCCTAATTTGCAGTAAATCATTGTTTCGTTTTGTTTTGTTTTAAAGTAATATGGCTAAAAACTATGAACTTAACTGAAGTTTAGCAAGAAAGAAATAATTAGCAAATTTATTATCTTCTTATACGTCTGTTACATAAACTGTTTTCTTACCTAACAAGTTGAATCTACAGGAAAGGTGCCAAGTTTAGCGTACTGCCTGATACACAGGAGAGGCTTAACAATGTTTATCACACAAAAGGGGAAGCTATTTACTGCTATTCACACCCCAGAACAAAACTAACATCTCAGATTAAGGAGTAACACTCAAATTCGTGAGCAACCATTAGACGTGATGTATGAAACCAAAGCCAAATACATTAAGTTGCTGACTTTTTTCTATTTTGGACAACAGGGAAAACTATATGTATGAGCCATAGCTGCACATTTTGCATGGCTAATTATAACCCNATCTATTATCCAGACCACCTGACATATGGAAGATCACCACCTCAGACCAATCCAGAAGCTAAGAATGCAGGACTTATTCTTCTCAAGAACTGTCATCATTATATCATTTTATTATAAGAACTGTCATCTTTTCTCTTACCTTTAGTACACTCTGGGTGTTACCTGGTAGTGTTTTAAATTTGCAAATCCTAATACCCTTGAATAAACCTTTGTCGCTTATTTGTAGTCAAAGCCTCCTGACTCTTTTATGCTGGGTTGACACAAATAACACATACAATAAATATTCATTAGCATTAGGGCCACATCTCTTCTCTCCTTCACACTGATTAACTCGTCTCATTGTATTTATCTCACAGCATCCTATAAATTACATTATCTATTTTTCCTATTCTCAAAAAAAAGTTGTGATTAAAAAATAATAGTCATACCAAATACCAGTAATAACAGGAGCGATTATTATTGAGGACTTACTATTGGACAGGCACACCACACCTTTCTGTAAATTATTCCATTTGTCCTATCTAGATAGTAAATATTTAGCTTTGCAGATCACATTTGAGTTTTGTCGAATATTTTTCTTCCTCTTTCTCTTCCTATGCTGCTGCTTCTTTACAAACCTTTAAAATTGTAAAAATCATTCTTAGGTAGCAGGCCATACAAAAGCAAATTGAGGGGTAGAGGTAGATAACACATTATCTCCATTTTGCAGATGATAGTAAACTGCAGCCTAAAGAAGCATCTAACATATTTTTATTTTACTTATTTTATTGTAGGTCTACTGCAGTAAAATGTAAGCTCCATAAAGACAGGATTTTTGTCACTTTGCTCATTGCTCTTTTTCCAGTGCCTGGAACAGTGTGTGGAACATAGTAGGTGCTCAATAAATATTTGTTGAAGAAATAAGTGAACTTGGTCAAAATTATACTATGTGACTTGACTTAATTGCCTGAGTAATGTTGTGGCTGCATAGTCTGGTCACTAGATTTTGCTGCTTGCCCTGGTACTAATCAGTGTTGGGACAAAGCGAATCTCTTCTAGGGAGGGAGACCCAAACTCTAGACTTATAAATATGACATAAGATGTTGAGGCACATATCTGCCCTCACTCAAGATGGAGCTAAGGCAGCGGTACCTTTCCGGTCACATGACTGCCCCACGCCAAAAGGCGCCTCCCCACGCGTGCGTGCTGCGCCGCGGCTGCGAGGCGCTGAAGGGAGAGGCGCCGCCGCCGGCGCCGCCGAGAGGACCCGTTAGAGCGGAAGCGCTGCCGCCGCCGCCGCCGCCGCCGCCTTCGCTGTCCCGGGGCCCCAGGTACCCAGCAGGTAGGAGGCGGGAGCCATGTCGAAGCGGCTCCGGAGCAGCTACGTGTGCGCTGACTGCAGCGGGCCGGGTGAGTTGCACTGGCCGGGCCCGCTCCCCTCAGCTTTCCTGACCCGGACCCCTGTCCCGGGGCCGCCCCTTTGGGTCGGGCGGGTCCCGGCGGCCGAACCCCACACCCCATGCCCGACGTCGCGACCAGGAGGAACCGGGGCGGCCTTGGGACCGGAGTCGTCCGGGCCTGTCAGAGCCGGGCGGACAGGGGGCCGCCGCCCTCCCGACCCTCTCGTCCCTCTTCCCTCTGGTCTCCTCTGTCCCAGGCCGAGCGGGGAGGCGGCGGGCTCCGGGCTGGGGCCACTTCTTCAGCAGGAAGGGGCTTGGGCAATCCGCAGGAAGGCCAATTACAGAAGTAAAATGCAAGCGTCCTCCTGACTGCGGCCCCCAGAGGCTGCAGGTGTCACCCTCCTGTCTCCCCCAACCGCTACCTAGAGCTCCGCTCCGTGAGGGGGCCCTACCCGGAGTGGGCGACTTTCGCCACTTCCCTCGATGGTCTCGAGACGCGCCAAAGGACCCGTAGATGATTTCCTCACTCCTGACATTCGGGCTCCCACTCCGCGGGGGAGAATCCGCCAGCAGGTCGGGGGTCTAGCAAAGGCAGCCAGCACTTAGGAATCTGTGCCGCTTTTTTGTGCAATGTATGTCTCAAGTTTTGGGATCTGAACGGCTGAGTTCAGACTAGATTTTGCCTCTGGGTGACCTTGGGCTGATGACTTCGTTTGACTGAGCCTTGATTTCCTCATTTTTCCCATGTGGATAGTCGGGAGTGTACCCCACTTCAGTGGTTAGGAAGATTCAATGAATATCCTTAGGATCATCTCATCTAAGTATTTTTTTTCTCGTTGCATTGTTTTCTTTAGTACAGAACCTTTGCAGCCCCTTAAAGCTACAGTTGGATTTCTAAATCGTACATTAATTACAACTTACAAAACAAAGGAACAAATACAAAATCTTTGGTAAATAGATATATTTGGGCATTCAGGCAGTATAGCCCTATGGGGGAGGGGGGGCATTGAAAGGTTAAAACCATTTCTCCCCAGCAAAATTTTCAGATTTAAAGTTCAGATCCATCTTAGCAATTGGAATTGAATTGACAGGTTTCTATGCTGTTTTTGGTGTTTGGATTTATCTGCTTTGAATTTGAAATAATTCAAAGGTAAGATGGCTTCCTTGGCGCAACAGCATCCAATAAACAATCTTAACAAAATCATTGGGCATCAGTGTTTTTGCAACTGTTCTGAACTTCATCGTGTCATATGGAAGTGGAGACTGATTTTAAATAGTACTATGATAACTCAAACCTTATGTGGCTATTTCATGGCCTGTATAGTGCCAGTGGGGTTACTAGTTTCCTTTGAAGATACAAGGGTGGAGGAGTTTAAAAAGGAGTTTTATAAACCAAGTTAGTGGGTTATACAAACTCCATCGTATTCTCTAAAAAACGTTATTTGTTCCACTTCCTTATTTTCTTGCCTGTTTTCAGTTGAGCTTTGTGATGTGTTTGATTCATATGAGCCTAGATTCAAACTTCCTCTTGGAATTTATGTTCTTTACTTAATGGATGATATATGGGGCAAAGGAAAAGTGGCCCCATTGCCACCCTAAATGCTGCCTGGCACTTCGGCAGCATTTTATGCGTTTCAGAATATTTTCTCTCCCATTGTATCATTTTAGTTGTCTCATATGCCTAATCTACAGAGACTTGAGTCACTTCCTTCCTGTTTTGAGTATAATTAGGCTACCTTGAAATGTTCTGTGAACTTGAAAGCTAGGAATTTATGCTGCTTTTTCTGCAAAGCCCTAGTGAAAGAGTTACCTTTAGGGATTAGGGACCCCTTTGAGAGTCTGATGAATGCTAAGGTCCTCTCCCCAGATAATGCATGTGTGTTTACTCTTTCATACGAAATTTATGTTAAGATGTCTCAGTGGGGTCACAGACATTTCTAAAACCCATTTATTGTGTTCCTGGAGCCCAGGTTAAATATCCCTGGCATTAAACGTTCAGATAAACTGGAAGGGGTTCACCCAACATCATTCATACAAACTCGATTTGGACTTGACTGTGTTGTTAACATTGTATTGGGTTGTCCAGGAAAAGTCATGATGTATTTTTTTCTGTTTTTCGTTGCAAAAATGCATCATGACTTTTCCGACAACCCAATAATAATTGTTTCATGGGATGCTGGTCCATGATGTTAAAGTGATTAATCGAGAACCTTGCTTAATGTGTGTTAAATGCTTGCTGTCTTGTTCCTGTTTAATTTCCTCCCATAACATTGTGAATCCTCTGAGTGATACATGAAGACTAAAGCTGTGATTCAAAATAGTCTTTTTTTTTGGTCATTAGTCGTGGTACCATACTGCAAAGAGCAATGTTATGTGTCATTGTAGGGATCCTTCATCTTGATGTTTCCGATCTTTGCTTTTAATTTTTTATGTTTATTTTTTCACTGTTCAAGGTTTATTTGATGTTTTAGTTGATATGACACTTGGATAGTTGGCTGCATGATTTATACGTAGACTTTTCTTTTTACATTATATGCCAGTGTACACTACTCTGATATATATAGGACACAAAATAAGATTCTTTAGAACAGTTATGTACGAGCCGATCTTTGCTTTTTAGAATGGTGTAGTAGTACTGACAGAGTTGTATTTCATTGAATTATTTTGTTTCTGTTTTATTTTCATGGCAAACATTTAATCATGATCACGTCTTAGTAAATGTTTTACTTTTTTTTAAAAAATAGATCTAGTTCAATTTAAATATATCCTAATCTGTGTTTAACTACCTGAAAACTCTGCTGAGATTTTCACTATAGTAATATAGTGTTCATGTGAAACATTTGACATTTTACGTATTAACAATCAAAAACTTTTTCCAGTGGTCACTTTTCAGTGGGCTCTTGAAAATATCTGAATGGTCCTTAGAAATTAATCTGGAAAAGTTATAACAGCTAACATTTCTGAGTATTTAACTATATGCAAGCAACTTTACTCACTCTTTATATCCTCATACCCTGAGATGTGTTGTTATTCCCATTTGATCCATGGTGAGGATAACTTGCTCAAAAAAAACTTGCCTGAGATCACTGCCCGAGAAGTGGGAGAGTTGGGGTTCAAACCCTGGACTGCTTGTCTCTAAAGCCAATCTTCTTAACCACCACACTCTCTGACTCCTAGGATTTGTCTTTGATTGAAATCCCATAACTTTTCATTATATGGCTGGAAAGGGTTTGAATAAACTGTTAAAAATGGTAAAGATGGTATATATGCATTTTAGAGATTTTTGTGGACATTGAAGAATTTTTAAATATAATCCTTAGACCAGACAGCTTGAGCAGCACCAATTGTAACCCAGTTATGAGTCTGATGAAATGTAGGTCTTCTTGTTTTTTGTTTTTGTTTTTGTTTCTAAGTGTTCAGTTTACTTCCCCAGTGTGAATTAGTCTTTGTTTCAATGGATGTCTTATGAAATTCTGTGGGACTTCATAGAAAAACAAGTATTATACACACTCCAAAAGTATTACTTGTTTTTATTTTACATCTCGGCTTCTATGAAGCTGCTGTTATTACAGACCTATTCTTTCAGATCAGTTGCAAGATGGGCTCAGTAGTTTATTTAAAACAACTAATGGATATCCTAGAATATCCCCCAGTAGAGAGGGCCAGGTTTCCCAGTCTGTCCCCAGAACCACAGCAGCTGAACAGTTTTATAGTTTTGTCACGCGCAGTTTTCTGTTAAGCAGATAGTCATACAGATTTGTAGCAGTTTTTTCACTCTTTTTTTCAGAAAGTGCTTTGTGGATTATTCACTGTCACAATTATATTACTTTGCCATTTGTGGAGATGGATTTAAAATGATTCATCTGTATTCTCTCAATTTGCTTCTCTCGTGTTGAATGAAGGAGCATACTTCTGCGATGGTAGATCTCATTAGGGCTTCATACTGTGGCCACGAACCAGAAAATAGTTAACTACCTATTTAGGATTTCAACTCGTGTTTTTGGTTTCGATTAACATTGTACCCAATCAGCCAGGATAGGTGGTATCATCAGACTTGATATGTTGATTAGCATACTAATACTAAAACAACAAAAATGTCTTTTTGTTTGTTTGTTTGTTTTAAACTATACTTCAGTCATCTTTTGCCATCTGGAAGTGAAGTATCCAACTTGTATCCTCGCCTCTGAAATTTCATTCTTCCTTCCAGATCCTTCCTGGGCATCAGTAAATAGGGGAACTTTTATATGTGACGAGTGCTGCAGTGTCCATCGGAGTCTAGGGCGCCACATCTCTCAAGTAAGGCATCTTAAACACACACCGTGGCCTCCGACATTGCTTCAGGTAAAGGATAAGAATTCTTCTTCTGGTTTGTAATTTAAGTTTTTAGGGCTCATTGTTTTAGCAACTAAAATTTCTCCTATTCTACTTTCTTAAATTGTACAAAAATGTTTGAGTCATAAATGAATAGAAGTGCTGCGCCCAACAATGCTGTGTGTGTGTGTGTTGAATTCATCATTTAAGATTTTGTTCCTTCCTAACATAAATCTTGTCCCAATAGGTCAGTTATAGAAAGACAGATACATAAATCGTTATTAAAATTTCTTGGTTCGGTTTCACTGCTGACTTTCTAGAATGTCTCCCGAAATTGTTTTAAAGCAGTCCATCTTTTCCCCATATCACGATGAATGTTTCTGAAAGCTACTGCCTTAGAAACTTTTCATTAATGTACTTATCCCTGAGTATCCGCTAATATTTTTACAACATTTTTTCCTGCTTTGAGAATCATGTACTGGGAATTCTCAGAAATTTGTGAAACATGTGATATAAGTTTTCTTAAAGTTCTTGTTACTAGTTAGAAACCAAATTCAATTAACATATTTTGATTGATTGCCTACCACTCTGCTAGGTGTTAAGTGGGTTGTTTTATTTGGGGTTCAGTGTCATGTCACCTGTACTTCTATTTTGGGGTACACATTCTTCAAGTTCTGTTGGAACTAAGAATTAAGCATGTGTTTCCCCTTCATTTGCCTTGAGTACATATTTTACTAAATCTATGGCAGCTGCACATGTCCCTTCACCATGCCTATATGAACCAAGGGACCAGAACAAGTGGGTTTGGGTTTCTGATGTGACAATATCTCCACTAATGTAAAAAAACAGATGGGGCCCTGTCAGAAGTCATGCTTTGAAATGAAATTGGGAGATATGTTTATTAATAACTTTTGCCCACAGGTTTCTAATAGTTCATACTCATGTGAAAGTGAGTGTTTACTATTCTCAGGTCTATGTTTACAGATTTTATTATAGGACCTGAATCAAGTCCAGAGATGAGTAGTTTGAAATGGCAGGGTTGACCCTAAAATATTAATAACAATTCCCAAAGTATGGCACATGAATACTTGAGTGATACTCAAGACAGATGTAGATAATACTCAAAGATTTATTTTAGTGGTTGCATTATTTTAATATATATGAGAAAACTATAACTAGCACATAAAACCATAATTGCTAGTAAAAGTTTTTTAAAAAGAGTGCATTTTTTAAAGAAAATTATTAAGTGGATAGTACATGGGTTGTGCAGAATCTTGCAAATAGTATTTGGATAATCAGTCTTGGGAAACACTGCCCTAAAGTGTCAAAGTACGCTTCCTTCATAATCTATAAGCACAGTATATTCAAAGCTATGTAGATATTTAGCTATCCTTCTAGTCAAACCTGAATTCTGCATATAGGTTCATCTTTCTTGTTCTAAAATCAGAAATTGATGTGCGTGATACCCCAGTTAGACTAGTGTTTGTAATGGGGCTTGGTTTTCCCAGTTCAGTTACTGTTTCCCACTGAATATTTATAGAAAGAAATTAAAATATGATTTTATACTGCTTGGTTTTAGATGGTTGAAACCTTGTATAACAATGGTGCTAATTCTATATGGGAGCATTCTTTGCTGGACCCTGCCTCTCTTATGAGCGGAAGACGTAAAGCTAATCCGCAGGATAAAGTACAGTGAGTGGAATGTTTATAAATACCTTTATTTCTCCGTAACACATGGGGCCCACTGAAAGGATTCCAGCTATTTTTTGACCAGCCTCCACAAGGGCAGCACAGGAGGTGGTTACCCCAATTGTTCATTGAGCTCTTTTCTATTAGAAATGCAGAACAAGGCTGGGCACCGGACCATCTCTTTTGCATGGTTACCCAGTACAAGTCAGTGGTTTCTCCAGTTTGAGACTAAGGCTTGGAGGTTGTTGATGTAATCAGATTTAATCTTAGGTGCTCAAACAAGAGGCTGTCAGACCAGAAATCTAGGCTCTGGGCTCCACTCTGCCTGATGCCTCAAATATAAGATGGGATGAAATGCTGCTTCCTCAACAAGGTTGCTAGGTCAGTTAAGAAAATTACACAGAGAAGAAAGATGCTGTACCAAGCAGGTAGTCTGCAGTCCTGGCCATTATAATGACTAATACGTGTTTTCAGACTTCAGGTCTTACCCACTGCTGACACTTTTTTCAGTATTGTTCATTTTATCCTTGAATGGGGGATGTGGGTCACTTCCTCTTCTTTTTACAGTCTAAAGAATGGGGAATGTGGTATCTGAACTGCGAGTGAACTGTTTTCTTTTTGTTTTCCAACCAGTCCTAATAAAGCAGAATTCATCAGAGCCAAGTATCAGATGTTAGCATTTGTCCATCGCTTGCCCTGCCGGGATGACGATAGTGTGACTGCCAAAGATCTTAGTAAGGTGGGTCACACCTTTTAAAATCTCTAAAATTGCTGGATGAAATAGCGTATTGTTTTGTTTAAAGAAAAACTTTTAAAGGAAGAAAAGAAAAACAAAACAAAAACGGCTTTCTAGTCACAAAATCGTAACAGCTTTTTTTTTTTGCAATTGGTTGTGTCTTGAATCTTACTTCAAATGGCAGCCGTTCACGTTAGTAGAGGTATGGGCAAAGAGAGAAAATAAATATCTAGAAAACTATTTGTGTTTTTCAGATATGGTTTGAAAATTACATTCTGTAAGTTTTTGGTTTAATTTTGAAATAGGAACCATCTCAGAGTTTGTTTCTAGAAGGGACTAGAAAGTTTGTGGGGTTTTTTCAGGTTTCTAGATTGCATACTGAGTAGGATCTTCAGGAAGCAGGGTGTGACTCAAAGCTGTAGTACACGGGATGGTTTATTATATTTGTAAAATGAGTAGATGGTTTTCTTTATGTGGGCCTTTGCCTGTTTTTGAGAGATGCTACAAGAAATATGCGTCTTTATTTTCAAAGCACTGTTCTGGGCAAATGCTCACACAGAAGGGGCACTCACAGTTCAGAATTTTAAACTTGGCATGGAAATGTATATTTCTTTGTTTCTTGTTATTTCCGTTCTTGTTACTTCTAATTAATAAGATGTAGTATGTGTTTTTTACCCCAATTTGAAAAAATAAAATAAATTAAAGTAAGACTTAGATACAGATGTTAGAGTAGATTTCTTTATTCCTATGGAGAAGGTTATTGCATTTTGTACGATTCTAGGTTAAACTTGAAGGAAGGCAGCTCATCTTCTGAATATATAAGTACTTTTCTGCAGTGGTACAGAATTTGGTATACCACAGGCCTGTTTCCCACCCTGAAAGACTTCATTAAAGCATTGTATACAAGGCCAAGCATAGTATTGTGGAGAGGGTGTGGTATAAGGCAGAACCCTGCAGTTTGCACAGTGTAGGATATGAAGCCCTAAAGCCCTAGCCAACAACAACTAAATAATAATAATAATAGTAGTAGTAGCAGTGTATACTTTGAGCATTTGCTCTGTACCAGACTCCGTGCTAGGCCCTTTATTATATCATTGACTTCCTACAGTAACCCTGTGAATAGTTGTCATTATTATCACCATTTTAGAGATGAGGAAAATGAGGTTCAGTTTGCTTAAAGAACTCCCTCGAGGTCACACAGCTTGAAGGGTGTATGGTTTGAAATTCAGGTTTATCACACTTCAGAGCCAATCTCAGCCACCTCCTCGTACTGCCTCTCACTCAAGGTCTAATGTGCTATTTAGATAAGTCCTATGTTTGGGCAGGTCTCAGCCCTAGTTTCCTTATCCATAAGATGGGCCTGACTCTGCCTTGGTGCCCAAGGCTGGTTGTGACCAACAAGGGAGAGACTACTCCATCTACCTTAGTTACTTAAAGGAAGATTATGTATTACAAAGACAACATATTAAAATGGTCTGCCAGTTGCTCTAGTACATCACTCTTTACACTTGTAGCAATATTCCTTTTTGTTTGTGTTTTTCAGCAACTCCATTCAAGCGTGAGAACAGGGAATCTTGAAACCTGTTTGAGGCTGTTATCTTTAGGAGCACAAGCCAACTTCTTTCACCCTGTAAGAAAGCATGAATTGTTCCACATATTAATTTGAAACTAAGTGGGTTGTGTTCATGTAGTCTCTTGTTTATTTACTTTGCCTTTTTTTTTTTTTGGGTCTACTTTCTATTAATGATTCTTAGGAAAAAGGAAATACCCCACTCCATGTTGCCTCCAAAGCAGGGCAGATTTTACAGGCAGAATTATTGGCAGTATATGGAGCAGACCCAGGCACACAAGATTCCAGTGGCAAAACTCCTGTTGATTATGCAAGGTAAGAGACCTAGATTCTTGTCACTTATCTCTATTTGGGCTTATTTGTGTTGCGTATGATTCATTGTTAAATGGCTAAATTGCATGTGATTAACATTTAACCCCTTTAAAGATTTACATTCAACTCTTTTGCAGATGACATTGTAAACGCACATGAGCTCAGAGCCTAGCAAAGTCAGGCAAGGTAGAACCATTGACCAGTGTGCTTAGCTTCTAGTCTTTCATATAATCCTTACAACACTGTGGGATTTGAGACACAGTCAGGGTGTCAAATCATGAATATCAAGAATGGCAGAACCCACTCCTCAATGTTTTAATACTTTTAGTCATTGCTTAAACAAATCCATGTAGATAGATATGTGATTGAACAAGCAGAGTAAAATGTTAATTGTATGTTTTAGGTAGTAGACATCTAAGTGCTTACTGTAAAATTCTTTACATTTTTTGTTTAAAAAATTTGTGAAATGCTGGAAAAATGCATAAATCCATAGGTTAGTCTTGAATATCATTTAAATGACAGAGGGTGGATCATCTTTCCTTCTTTTTGCAAATTAACTTTATTAGCTGCAAAGCACTATATACTCTGCAGAAAATAAAATGGGTGAAATGACCAAACTCTGCCCTCCCAGAATTTATTGTCCCATGGAGGAGATGATTCATAAATTCATGAAAGAGTTAAATGAGGCAAGATGATGTGGAATTCATTGCCAAAATGGATAACTGGATAACCACTAAAAAAAACACTTGGACAATTAAATGATGATGTACCATCAATTGTAGGATACTTCCTGATTTCACAGATGTTAAAAAATGAGGGAAAAAAAAAAAAAGATGTGCATCCCAGAAATCAAAGATGGGTGGTAGACTGGAGAATATTTTGTAGTGCCTTAAATGGTAGGAAGAGAAACTGACAGAAACTGGTCTTTGTCTTTTAAGAGGAAGAGAGCTCTCAGTAAATGATGCTTACTATCACTTACCTTTGAATTTTCTCATGTGTGCCTTGCATGTAATAGTCTCTCAATGTAATTATTTATGTGCCTTATTACCAAAAGTATTCCAAGTAGCTTATATATTTATTTTGTGAATGAAGAGAGACAAACTTAATGTTTTCTGTTGTGGAAATTGAAGATAAGAAGGTGAAAGTAGCTACAGGTGTGGATTAGGTTGGTCTATCTCTCCATGAATGGAAGACCTTGAAATGGTTGCTAAACTCTCAGATTCAAACTGGTCATCAGAAGCATCTAAAAGGAAGGACCTTGTTTAAAATACTGATGTCCACACTTATCTATCCTTACTGATGTGGAATTTCCAAGGGTGGCGCCTGGAAATCTGTATATTTTTTAAAGCACTCTAGTTAATTTTTGAGACTCTCTATGTACACCACTTACTAATTTTATCTTCTACTTCATTAGATGAAGTTATTTTTTATCCCTCTCATGAGTCCTTGAATTTGTTAGTAAGTATTCTGTCTTGTAAATTAATAAAGGAGGGGGAGTAGTTCAGATTGTGAAAAAAGTTTATAAAGATGGGAGTCAAAGTAGACCTTAACAGTTTACCTCACACAGAAAGGTTGATTATTCTAAAAAGTCATGTTTAATCAATTGCTCAGGTGTCTCAGGAGATGTCTCTGTACTTTTGTATTCTAGAGCCAGTGTCTGGTGAGCAATATAAATGGTACTTTGTTTTCTCTTGCTAGGCAAGGAGGGCACCATGAGCTGGCAGAACGCCTTGTAGAAATACAGTATGAGCTGACCGACAGACTAGCCTTCTATCTCTGTGGCAGGAAACCAGGTGAGTGCAAGGACAGGGGCCTCTCCACACCTCTAGTCAGTCATGTTCTGAAAAAACAAGTTAGGACACTATTATTTATGACCTCTGCATTAACATGTCCTCAAGAAAATTGTGAATAAGGATTTCTGTTTGAAATGATAACTACAGCATTTTCAGTTATGTGTAGACAATGTCTGTCAAATCTCGAATTTTAGTTTTTGTTTTTGTTGTTGTTTTTAAAATTCTATTGGAGAACAGTGTGTTTTTCCAGGACCCATCAACTCCAAGTCAAGTAGTTGTTTCAGTCTAGTTGTGGAGGGCACAACTCAGTGGCCCATGTGGGGATTGAACCGGCAACCTTGGTGTTATGAGCACTGTGCTCTAACCAGCTGAACTAACTGGCCGCCCCTTGAATTTTATTTTTTAAAACTTTATTTTGGCTCTAGAGTAGTGACTGTTTCAGGCATCAAAGAATTGAACCAAAACTGAATGTGTACCACAGTTCTTGCACATAGTGGGACAAGGAATGGAAGAACAAAACGACCACTTATGTAGTTATTTGAAGAATTCTGCTATCTAAGGAATGGAAAAAAGTCTAAAAGTGAACTTTGCCATTAGCCACCTTTATTTGTGAGGTAGACTTGGGGTTAGCAAACCATGGTCCATGGGCCAAATCCAGCCTATCACCTGTTTTTTTAATAAAGTTTTATTGCAAGATAGCCACGCCCATTCCATATTGTCTATGGCTATTTTTACACTATAGTGGCAGAGTTGAGTACGTTGTGTAGTTGTGACAGAGACCATGTAGCCACAAAGCTTAAAATATTTACTGTCTTGCCCTTTACAGAAAAAGTTTACCAACCCCTGATGTAGACTGTCCGCATACATGTATACAGTGGTTCTGCACCCTGGTTGTACATAGTGTTAAGAGCTCCTGGTGTGGTCCTAGTTCCTGGTGAGACGGAGTAAGCACACCCCACCCTTTCTCTCCTGAATACAATGAGAACCCCTGGACCAAATGCATGGAGTAGCTATCTAAGCACTCTAGCTGGTGGATTAGGGAACTTGGAGTACCATCAAGCTGGTAGTGAGTGCCCTGTTTATTTTATTTCTGAGATGGCCTCCATGACGTCCTGAAACCTGGAACTGCATAACAGATGCAGAGAAACCTTCCTTCTCCATCTGATCCGAGTAATAGGAAATGGAACTCCTACAAGACAGAGAGTAGGGGCATTCCCCTGTTTTTGTTTTTTTACTTCTTTTTTTTTTTTTTGCCCTACTCTATCCCCTGGGCAATCCTGTGGCTGCAGTAGTGGCAATAGCAGTGGCAGCACAGGTGCCTAAATCTCTGACCAAGAGCGGGAGGGGAATTCTGATAGCTTTCATTTTTCTATTCTCTTGCCACTTGGCCCGGAAAGCAGAACCTAACCTGGTCAGTTGCCTGCTAAAACAAAAATATTAACATTCTCCATAGAATTTAAGGGAAGACCCAGAGTCTCACAACATAATATTAAAAATGCCCAGGATACCACCCATAATTGACATATGAAGAACCAGGAAAATCCCAAAGACTTGAAAGGGAAATAGATGCCAACCCCAGCATCACAGTGATTGGAATTATCAGACAAACATTTTAAAGCAGACAATAACATCATGCTCTAAGAAGTGTGGACATTCTTGAAACAAATAGAAATACAGTAATACCTTGGTTTGTGAGCATAATTCGTTCTGGAAACAAACTACTCGTATTGCAAGACATCGCTCATTAAATGTATTAGAAATGTTTGCTCGTCTTGCGGAACACTCGCAAACCAAATTACTCGCAATCCAAGGTTTTACTGTAATAGAAAGTCTCAGCAGAGAAACAGAACATATGAAAAAGAACCAAACAGAAATGTTAGAACTGAAAAATACAATAACTAACATTTTAAAACTCACTGGATGAGCTTCATATAAGCAGATTGGAGATGACAAAGAAAAGAGCAAGTGGCTTGAAAATAGATCACTATAAATTATCCAGTTTGAGCAATAGAGAGGAAAAAAAAAAGTGGGAAGCAAAAAACTGGACAGGGCCTCAGGCACATAAGAGACAGTATCAGAAGTTCATATTTGTATTATCAGATTCCCAGAAAGCTCAGAAAGAAAGAGTGTGGTACAAAAAAAATATTTGAAGACATATTGCCAAAAAACTCTAAATTTGGCAAAAGACAAACTCACAGATTCAAGAAGTTCAGTGAATTCCAAGCAGGATAAACTCAAAGAAATTCTCACTCAGACACATCAAAATAAAACAGCTGAAAACCAAAGAAAAAGAAAACATCTTGAAAGCAGCCAGGAAAAAAATGACACATAACATATAGAGAACAATTATTTGAATGACTAGATTTCTTATTAGAAACCATGGAGATGAAAAGGAAGTAGAACAATATTTTTAAAGTGCTGAAAGAAAAGAATTGTCAACCTAGAGCTCCATTTTCTGTGAAAGTAACCTTCAGGAATGAAGGCAAAATAAAGACATTTTAAGATGAAGAAAAATGAGAGAATTAGTTGCTTTAAGAAAATTGCTAAAGAAAGTTCTTTGGATGGAACGGAAATGAAACCGGAGGGAACCTTGAAACCTCAGGAATGAAAGAAGAACAGCAATAATGATAAGTATCTGGATAAATATAACAGACTGTGTTTTCCTCTTAAGTTCTTTAAGATATGTATGACAGTTGAAAGCAAAAGTTATAACATTGTCTGGTGGGATTTTCAGCATATGTCAATGTAATACATTTGACAACTACAACATAAAAGGGGAGAGAGAAATAAGGAGATAAGATTGCATTCTTAAAACGGTAAAATGTTATTTCTAAGTAGACTGTAAAAAATTTATGTATATTATAATTCCTAGCACAACCACTAAAAAAAAGACTGTACAGTGACATATGGTCAAAACTCTAGAGATAAATTAAAATGAAATATTAAAAATTACTCAAATCAACAGATATTTTGAATCAAAAGATTCAAAAAGTGAAAGGAAAGGGGAAAGGAACAAAAAAACTGAGGCCCAAACAGAAACTAAACAATAAAATCATAGACTTAAGCCCAAACATATCAACAATTACTTTAAACATTATTAATCTAAACATACCAATTAAAAGCAGAGATTATCAGGTGGATTAAAATAAAAAACAAACCATAACTATATGCAGTTTTACAAGGAACCAATTTTAAATGTAATGACATAGTTAAGATGAAAGCAAAAAGGTATAAAAATACATACCATGCAAATACTAAGTAAAAAGAAAGCTAGAGTGGCTATATTAATATCAAACAAAATGGACTTCAGAACAAGGAAAATTATTAGGGATAGAGAGAGACACAGCATATTGATAAAAGGATCAATTCATCAAGAAGACATAACAATCCTAAATGTGTTCACATCTAGCAACAGAGCTTCAAAAATACATGAAGCAAACTTTGATACAAAAAAGGAGAAAAGGTTGAATCCACGATTATTGTTGGAGGCTCAACAGTCTTCATTTATTAATAGATAGAACTGATAGATAGAAATCAGCAAGGATATTGAACTGAAACCATACCGTCAACCAACTTCATCTAGTTGACATTGATCAAATTCTACCCAACATTATCATTCCTTCCAAGTTCACATTGAACATTCACCAAGATAGACCATACCCTGGGTCATAAAACAAACTTTAGCAAATATAAAAGAATTAAAATTCTACAAAGTATATTCTCTGACCATAATGGAATTAAGCTAGCTATAACTAGAAAATACCCAAATGCTTGAAAATAAAAAAAAAACGTACTTCTAAATAATCCATGGGTCTTAAGAGGATAAATTCTTACATTAGAAAAGAAGGTCTAAAATCTTTCATCTAAGGTTCCCCCTCAAGAAACTAGAAAAAGAGCAAAATAAACCCAAAGCAAGCGGAAGGCAGAAAATAATAAAGATAAGGGCAGAAATCAATGAAATTGAAAAAAGAAAACAGAAATCAATGAAACCAAAAGCTGATTCTTCAAAAAGATCAATAAAATTGATAAATGTCTAGCCATACTGACAAAGAAAAAAAAGGAAAGAATACACAGAGTGGGATATAACTACAAATGCACAGACAGTAAAGGGTAATAAAAAAATATTGTTAAGTAACTCTATGCACATAGATTGGACACTTTAGATAAAATGAACCAATTCCTTGAAAGTCACAAACTACCAACACCTACCTAAGAAGAAAGAGATATTATAAATATGTAATCCTACATTTTAAAGAATTTGTACTTAAAGAAAAAAATTCTGTTAAAGAAAACCCCAGCCCAGATGATTTCACTGAAGAATACTGTGAACCAGTTGAAGTGGTGTTGCTATGTAGCAATGGAAAAAATATGGTTTGTGACTCACATGGTTTGCTGGCTTTGCAATTATGATTCTTAATGCATATTTTTAATTGTTTTGAATTCACATTTCAAGTTTTGCATGTAAAATGAGACTATTCTACCAAACATTTGAAGAATAAATGATATCAATTCTGCATGATATTGTTTTAGAAACCAGAAAGGGAAGGAACACTTCTCAAGTCATTTTATGAGGGCAGCATTATCCTGATACTAAATCTAGCAAAGATAGCACCAAAAAATAGCCCTTGTGAACATAGACACCAAAATCCTCAACAAAATGTTAGCAGATTGAATCCAACAATATATAAAAAGAAAAATACAACATAACCAAGTAGAATTTACAGATTTGCACAACTGATTAAATATTTGAGAATTAGTTAATGTAATTGTAATCCACAGTAACAGACTAAAAAAGGAAAACTATAATCTTATCACTTAATGCAGAAAAAGCATTTAACAAAATTCACTATTTTTCATGATTAAAAAAAAGAAAAAACTTAGCAAACTAGGAATAGAAGGGACTTCTTAACCTGATAAAGAGTATCTATAGAGCCGGCCAAGTGGCGCATTGGTTAAGAGCTGGCTTGGGACGCCCAAGGGCCCCAGTTAGGATCCCACATATGAGGGCCGGTGACACTGCCTTCTACAGCTAAGATGCTGAACAACAGCTCAACCTGGAGCTGGGCTGCCGTGAGTTGCCGGCCACGTGAGTTGCCGGCCACGGGTAGACTGCGGCCTCTGCTGCAGTGGGTTGCCATGGGCTACCGTGTGTAGCCAGCAGCCAGCGTGAGCGGCCAGCAGCTGCTGTGAGTGGCCAGCAGCCGCCGTGAGTGGCCATCCAGAAGCCGGCGACTGATCTGCCTCCCCTGGGAAGAGCAAAATGATGGTGCAAACTTGGGCCAGTGAAGCAATGTCCTCCACAACTAGACTGAAGAACAAAAAGACGACAGCAACTTGTCTGTTCCCCTTCCCCCAATTCCCCAGCGCTGTTCCCATCCCCCAACTCCCCAATTAAAAAAAAAAAAGCATCTATAGAAAACGTACAACTATCATCACCCTTAATGATGAAAATTGAACGCTTTTGCCTATAGATCAGACACTCATATCACCCCTATTCAACATTGCTCTAGAAATCCTAACCAGTGCCATAAGGCAAGAAAAAAAATAAAAGGTATACAGATTGAAAAGGAAGAAATACAACTGTCCCCTATTCATAAATGGGATGATTTCTATGTAGAAAATCCCAAGGATTTTCCTGGAACTAATAAGTGAGTTCAGCAAGGTTACAGAATACAAGGTGGCCTACCAGAAATCAATCACAGTTTTGTAGACCAGCAGTGAACAACTGGAAACTGAAACTAGAAAAACAGTACCATTTACAGTAGCTCCAAATTAAATACTTAGGTATAAATCTAACAAAATATGTATGGGATGTATATACTGAAAACTACAAAATGCTGATGAAAGAAATCAAGGAGGACCTGAATAAGTGGAGAGATATACTGTGTTTATGAATTGGAAGACTCAATATAGTTAACATGTCAATTCTCTGCAAATTAGTTTGTAAATTTAATGCAGTTCAAGAATTTATTGTAGACATTGACATGCTGATTCTAAAATTTACTTGGAAGCGCAAAGGGAACTAGAATAGCCAAGACAGTTTTGCAAAAGAAGAAAAAGAACGTGGGAGGAATCACACCACCAAATTTTAAGATTTGCTGTAAAGCTCTGCTATACTCAAAACAGTGTGGTTATGGTGAAGAGATAGACAAAGATCAATGAAACAGTATAGAGAATTCAGAAATAAAACCACACATACGTTCAATTGCTTTTTGACAAAGGCAATTTAATGTAGGAAGGATAGTCTTTTCAATATATAGTGTTGGAACAACTAGACATCCATGTGCAGAAAAATGAACCTCAACCGAACCCTCACACCTTCTATAAAAATAAACTCAAAATGGATCATAGATCTAAATGTAAAACCTAAAACTATTAGAAAAAAACATGGGAGAAAACCTTTGTGATCTTGGATTAGGTAAAGTACTTGGATGTAACACCAAAAGCATAAGCCATAAAAGAAAATATTGGTAAATTGGACTTTGTCAAAATTTAAAACTTTTGCCCTGCAAAAAACTATAGTTAAGATAATGAAAAGAAAGTCACAGACTGGGAGAAAATACTTGGAAATCACATATCTAACAAAGGACTTGACTCCAGAATATTTATACCTAAATACTTAAAACTCAACAGTAAGCAAACAAACAACCCAGTAATCGCTGGGCAAAGATAATATACAGATGGCAAATAAAAAAACACGTGAAGAGAGAAGCTCAGTACCATTAGCCATTAGGGAAGTGCAAATTAAAACCACAGTGAGATACCACTGGGTACCTATTAGAATTACTAAAATTTATTTTTTATTTTTTATTGGGGAACTGTGTTTTTCCAAGACCCATCAGCTTCAAGTCAAGTAATTGTTTCAGTCTAGTGGAGGGTGCAGCTTCAGTGGCCCATGTGGGGATTGAACTGGCAACCTTTGTGTTTTGAGCACTGCACTCTAACCAACTGAGCTAACCAGCTGTCCCCTAAAAATTTTTTGTTAAAAATGACAATTCAAGTGCTGGAAGAGGTGGGGCAACTGTAACGCTCATACAATGCTGGATGGAAAACAAAATGATGGAGCTACTCTGGAAAAAAGCCTAGCAGTTTCTTAGCAAGTTAAACATATGTTTATTTATAACCCAGCAGTCCCATTCCTAAGTATTTACCCAAGAGAAATAAAGACTTACGTTTACACAAAAACCTATATGTGAATATTCATAGTGGCTTTATTCATTGGTGTGTGACCAGTGTTCTTCAGAAGCTAGATTAGAACTGAGTCAGCCAGCATTGTAGGAAATGAAGCCCCTGCCTGGATCTGCCAAGACCACCTGCCCCAGCCCCGACTATTTTATACTAATTGATTAGTTTGAAGGCGAGCCACCAAAGCTCAAAAAAGCTCCACCCATGTCTCATGAAGAGCTTATGGAAGCCGCCTCTGAGCTAATTCAGCTCCTTAAATGTTCTTTCCATGGCTGAAGTGCATCAGTTATATTGGGCATGAACAAAGAAGGATTTGGTGAGCGTAAGCTTTCTGCTTAATGATGTCCAGACGTTTGTATCAGAAGAAAATAAGGATATGATCCTTGTTACCAGCCAGGTCTTTGAGAATTTGTAGACATTCTGGCAACTTCTGTCTCCCTACATAATTCGTAATTATGGGAAGATACTAATTGCAGAACATAAATTGAGAAAATGTATTCCTTCACAGATCTTCTCAATATTTATATGAACAAAACTTTGGCTTGGTTTCTGTTTCAGATCACAAAAATGGACAGCACTTTATAATACCTCAAATGGCAGACAGGTAAGGCCACTGAAATACAATCAATTTTTTCTGTCACTAATAATTCCTTGGATGTATAGTATTGAAGCGTATTATATTTTGTGTTTAACAAAGCCCATACATTTTTCTCTTTTATGGCTATACAATTTGGAAATAAGACGGCTGTAAGTAAACCACCATATAAAACTTAAGTTTTGAAAGAGCATAAGTAAGTTTACTAATAAGAAAATGGGAGTCAGTGATATTGTCACAGTTTTAGCCAGTTGTGACAGTATATTGTGTTTATAGAGTATGTTTGTCTATAACAGGGAGCGTCAATTATTTTTGTTGTTGTTAAAGGCTAGATAGTACATATTTTAGGATTTGTGGGCCATACAGCCTCTGTCACAACTACTGAATTCTACTGTTGTAGATGAAAGCATCCGTGGACACTATATAAATGAAGGGCATACCTATTCCAATACAATTTTACTTCTGGATACTGAAATTTCAATTTAATATAATTTTCACAAGTTATAAAATAGTATTCTTTTGTGTTTTTTTTTTCCCAGTCAGTTAAAAATGTAAACACTATTCTTAGCTCATAGGCTGAACAAAAAGTGGGCTATAATCTGCCGACCCCTAGTCCATAAGGTCAGATGAGTTCATGGCTGCAGGAATGAACCTTTAATTTAGCCAATTACCTTTGCACAAATACTGTCAAGAGTTTATGAAATTATTGGTTGCTGTTCCAGGTGTAATCTTGCCATTCTAGTTTTTCACATTCTGCCCTTTCTGTATTTTCTTATATCATGCTTTTTTTTATACTTCAAAAATTGGCTTTTCACACACCTGGGGACTAACCTGGCAATAATAGTTTTTGTCTTTTAGTTAGTATTGATGGTTTTTCGTTTTACCATGTTACATGATTATGGTATTTCTAGGAGTTACTTTCACCAAGTTGTTGTGTTCAGAATTTCTTCACTGATTCTATTGGGCTATAGGATTGTTGGCTCTGACCATGTCCATGAACTATAATTAATATCTTGATCCTGGGGCTATCTTAATCTTCTGCAGAGCTCACAAAAATTATTTTATTTGCTTATTAGTTTTGTACATTTTCTTAGCAGCCTGGATTTGTCTGAATTGGCAAAAGCTGCTAAGAAGAAACTTCAATCTGTGAGTATCTCTCTTTCCTAGTGAACTCCAGTATGGGAAATGTATCCTGCTAATACTTGTCCTAGGCTCGTTATCTGTTGAATCAGATGACTGTGTTTCATACTCTCAGATGTTGTTAAATCAGAAGCAGACAATTGAGTATGTAGCGATGAAGACTGGAAGTGCTAATAAGTTTAGTAGATCCAGTTTATTGGCTCTGCTTCAAATAATGCTATTTTCCTGTCATTTAAAAAGTGACGCCTTTGCCTTTGACATTAGGAAGTTGTTTCTCCTTGTGAGAGTTTCTTGTTTCTTCCAATGTAAATGAGTAAGTGGGACACACTTCTTGAAATTACTTCCTGTGAACTTATAGGATGCTAGAGAATGATAAAAGCTGATGCTGGAACGGTGAGTACCATAGATTCACTTGCTGCCATTGGGATCCAGCCACCATTATAACTCGCATATCCCATGTCATTCATCAGAGCTTTGCAAATGTATGCTTTTAAAAGCTGGTGGTCCTGCCCTGGGTATGTGCTCAGAGTTGGTCCAGTTCTGCAGGTCAAACCTCACTTTAATCTGACTGTTTCTTTCCAGCCTGCCCCCCTCAGCCTTAGTCAGGCATCTACTTGTCTGGGAATGATTTCTCTTTGTTTAGTCCCCGCAAATGAAGCCTCACCAGGGCGCTTCCCCAGCTGTTTTCACCACCAGATTACACTCCTCAGCTGTTCTCATTGCTCTCAGGATCAGAACCAAGATTCTTTTCATAACCTCTAAGGGCATCATCCAACTCTCACCTTTCCGTTCTTGCCCTGCTTCCCATCTGGTTCCCATTGTGTGTGTGTGTGTGTGTGTGTGTGTGTGTGTGTGTGTGTGTGTGTGTGTGCGCGCGCACGCGCGTGTGTGTATGTGTGTACACACGCTTCAATATTTCGTTACGGGTTAGCACTCTCTCAGGCCGTGAGCTGCCACCTTCAAGTCCTCTTTCAGGAACCCCGCTCTGCCTGCAGCATTCCCCTTTCCCAGCTTCCATCCCTTTCATCATTCAAGCAGCTGAAATACGACCACCTTCACAATGCAGTTAGTAGTTTTCCCAAAGCCCAACTGAAATTGCAACTCCCAAAATTTATGATTTTCTCTCCATTCCCCTTTTCACAGAAGACCCTTTACTAGAACAACATATAATATTAACTACTAAGTATTACAGAAAATGAATTTATCATTACTAGTTTTTAACTGTGATTTGAAATAAATGTATTTTATGCAATTTGTTTGGTGTCTCTGTGTTCTATATCTACGGTTTTGTGTGTCTGTGTGTTTTATCGCCTTTCTTAAATTAAGGAGACCATATAGTAAGATAATTATGATAAGCTTTGGAGTCAGCACTAATATTCTGTGATTTCCTTTTAATTACTTACAGTATGTAAGCCAATTTTTATTTTAAATAATTCCAACATTATAGATAAAGCCCAAGCTTCCTTTGACTATCCTGTATTTGCTAGGCTGAAAGCTACATGAAAGCTGGGGTTATAGCTATACTATCTCTAGCACATGATAGGCACCAGATAAATATCTGGAACAAAGTTGAGTACAGCTTCCCAGACGTTGGGCTCTGGGTCAAACTGGTCAGATGCAGATCTCGGCTCTGACAAGCTTCTCAGCCTCTCTGTGCCTTGGTGTCCTCTCCTAGGAAGGGAGATAATGGTCTGGCAGCGGTTACAGATCAGAAGTGCTCGGTGAGGGTGAGCTGCTATTGTTGACCCCACCCTGAGGTCTCCTTCTCACAGGTGAGAAGGAAAACGTCCTCACAGCTCGTACCTGTGCCAATTCAGTACAGATCCTACAATATCCCTCACTACTCCCTCCTTTCTTCCCTTTCCCCCTCTCTCCCTCTTTAATGAAAAGCTGGGAGAAATATAATAAGACCTGTGTTCCTTGAATTAGCAAATGTTAACTTTTTGAGAGACTTAAACTTGGATCTCAGATCCATCATTTATTGGCTTTGTGACGTTAGGCAAGCTTCTAACTTCTGTGCCTCAATGTCCTTGTCTGTAAAGTGGGATAATGGTAATTCCTGTCTTCATAGAGGTGATATTAGCACAGTGCCTACAATGTAAGCCCTCAATCAGTATTGCTGTAGTTATTGTTAGTAATACCGTATTTGCCGGCGTATAAGACGATTTTTTGGCCCTGAAAAATATGCCTCCAAGTGGGGGGGTCGTCTTATACGCCAGGTACACTTCAG